TGCTCTCGACATTGTGCTTCCCCTGAACCCTATAAAGGCTCCTTGTGGCTTAGAGCGTACAGAAGTGACGATTCTTGTCAAACACCGAAATGATGAGGGTGCATGCTGTGCTTCCCATGACCTACGATGAGGCCTCCGTGTTTGCGAGATATAAATTTTAAAAAGTACTCCTTGTATACAGGCGACGATTCAGGTCAGATGCAGTCATGTTGAGGGTTTGCGCTGCTCTGGAATCTGTCCTTCCCCTGAACCTCGCTAACTTCTCCGCCAGCCATCTTGGTCCTGCAGGCCAGAGCTGCAAAATTTCCGGAGTAGATGACACACATTTTTCCGCAAGGCTGGGGCCGTGTACTCGGAATTTGGGGGACAGTTGCCCCCAAAATCATTCGCCCTCCTGGTAGCAGTGGGCGGCAAAAATGATGGGAGAAAAAAGGAAAATGCACAAAAATACGCCAACTGGCCCAGTTTCCCATTAGAACTTCTCTCACTCTTGGAATGATTTTTTTTTTTTTTTAATTTCTAAAAGCTTCTTCCTGGAAAGATCAGCACCTGATCTCCTAATATTTTGTCTTTTTCAGACTCTTTTGTGCATAGTACATTTTTTTGTTATCGAGCTGCAGACGGCCTGCCGCATCACATGGGCCTCCCAGTCCACAGCCCCCCCGGCTTCGCGGTGCAGTTTCCGTGCTACCCATCTCCACAGCATGGGGAGACTGGTGGTTTAAGGGATATCAATCACTGGACCTCCTGTTGGTTTGGATGGACTGCCCCTACGAGAAGGGGGCATGGCTTGAAGACGTAAGATTCAAAACTAGTCGGGAGATTCCAGTTTTAACTCTGCACAAACATAATAGGCCATGTTGGGTAATGGCCACCTACACTTATTATCTTGCATGTGCACCTCATGAACGTACACCTAGTAGATGCAGAATGAAGCCAATGCGACCATGATGTTTACATCAGTCTGACGCTTTTACTGTTCATCCAGAAGTCAGATGCCATTTTGCAGGTCTTCATGCTCACTCCCCCTCCCAACACACGCAATCAAATCACCTATGACTTGTTTCTTCTTCTTCTTCTGAGTGCTTCTTTGTGTTGTTGTCCACTTGCTGCATGTCCTGGCCTTTTCTTTTGTTTCTAAGTGCCTAAGTCTAGCACCCTTAAACCGCAAGTACACGGCCCCAGCCTTGCAGAAAGATTTTGTTGCCACAAGCAAAACTCGGAGGGGCCGCGCAGCGTGGGGCGCCGTTGAAAAAAAAATCGGCGGCTTCCGAAGTGGTGCGGATTTCGTGTTGACACCCGCAGGTCGATGTGTGGTGTACTGGTGCTTTAAGACGTGCCAAATAGTCGACCCCTGTTTGTATGACTGCCTGCAGCACTACCAGAGGGTTTGCTGTGTTCGGGATGTCTGTCGGTGTGTTTTCCGGATGATGATGGACATTCTTCGAAGTAATTCCCTGTCTCCAATGGTGGTGTGAACCTACAGTCTATAGAGTTATAAACTTGCGGTGTGAGTGGGTGCTGATCTTCATGAGTGGAGTGCCTTGTTGGTGCTCTGCCTCCCAGATGCTGTCCTGCTGCTTGGCTAGTTGTTTGGCATTGCTGCCTTGTTGCCTGCCTGCTCACCTTGTTGCCCTGCTGCTTGCCTCCTCGCTTGGCTGCCCACCCGCCTCCCCCGCGCCCTCCCAGCTAAGCCTTGCCGTTGCTTGCCATTCACTTCCTTGTCGCCTTGCTCCCTTGCTGCTTATCATGCAGCCCTGCTGCTTGCCTTACTGCCTCACTGCCTTGTTGCCTTGCTGCTCAATGCACTGCCCTGCTGCTTGCCTTATCATTTGGCTGCTTACCCTCCTCCTCCGTATACCTTCCGCCCTATGTGCCTTGCTGTTGCTTGCTGCCGTTCAGTGCCTTGTTCCCTTGTTCCCTTGCTACTCACCCTGCATCCCTTCTGCTTGCTCCGCCTTGCTGCCTTGTTACCCTCCTGCCTGCCTTGCTGCCTGCCGTGCTGCCTTTCTTCTTTGTTGGCTTGCCACTTTATCGGCTTGCCGTCTTGCTGCGTTGCTGCCTTGTTGCCTTGCTGCTCATCATGCTGCCCTGCTTCTTGCCTTGCCTTGCCCCTGCTCACCATGCTGCCCTGCTACTTACCTCGATGGATCGCCGCCTTGCTGGTTTATTACCTCTCTGTTCAGTCTGCTGCCCTGCTGCTTGCCTTGGTGCCTTGTTGCCCATCTGCCTTGCCGCGTTGTTGCCTTGCTGGTCATCGTGGTGACCTGTGCTTTGCCTTGCTGCCCTGTTGCCCACGCACCTCCCCTGCGCCCACCAGCTTATGCGTTTCGCCCTTGCTTGCTGTCCAGTGCCTTGTTGCCTCACCATTGCCTTTCTGCTTGTGATGTCACTTGCCGGCCGTCCCCATTTACAACGGGGGTTGAAGGGGATCATGACTCACAACATCAACATCGCGATTCTATAGACTGCTGAGGGTTCAGCCTCCTGATGAGTCGGTGCAACTCCGACGAACCAGTTTGTTGCTACTCTCTTGATTTATCTTTCTCTGTCACGTCCTTAAGTGTCGCCCGTTTCTGTTTGTCGTATCTGCATACGTGTGGGGCTCTTGGGAATGGTCCTGCCAGCCTAAGCCTATGTCAATGTCCAATAGGAAACATCTCCTGCATAGTCAATGGGGACATGGAATAAAGGGTAAACAATTATGCACGGGACCGGTGTACCACGAAGTCTACATGTGGGACATCATAGCATAACTGCTGTGGAATACTATTAACTAGTATTAAGACAAGACAAATACACACAGTTACATTTATCTGTAAAAAAATTCTTTTTTTTCCCGCATTTTCTGAAGCTGGTCGAACCTGCAATCTGCTGGGTTTCCAACTGGTGTCAATAGGCGATAATCTGGCTTGATCTGTGCCTCCACGCGTGAGCCGCAATCCGTCGGAGTTGCACTCCAACACCCACACTGAATAGTGCACAGCCTGAGATGTTCTTTCTCCTACCTCCAGGTCTAGGGCAAAGCTCACACCCATCAGAGGTGCTCAGACCCATCAGAGGTGCAGTAGTTTACTCTTTCTTCTTTGCATAAATCCCCCGCGCGCCCCTGTCAGCCGCGAGTTAAGTACATCAGAACACGCCCTCCTGACTGCAATCGCTGCACACGAAAGGTTGCCGTGTGTAAACTCAACATGGACTTGAGGCAAGCAACACTGCAATGCCTATCAGGGACGTCAATTCATCTGCTTGTGGCAAGCAACAGTGCAATGCCTTTTGATGTATTGAGACCCTTGAGTCATTTCGTAGATTGCGTGCAGGGTCTATAGCATTCAGTGAAACCTAAACAGGCTAGCATTGCCTAGCAAGGATCCATTTAGAGCACCTGCACCCCTCTGACACCAAATATACATCCATTGCGATGGGAAAACCTGACATTTCCCAGCAGAGAGCAAGAGTGCAACTTCAAGATTGTGGGAAGCATCTATAGCATTCTATACCATTCAGTGAAACCTAAACAGGGTAGCAAGGAAAACTGCACCCCTCTGATCACAAGTACGCGTCTCGCTACGATGGAACACCTTCCATATCCCCGCAGAAAGCAAGAGTGTGACTTGGAGAAGAAACGGGAACTAAGGAAGTAAACAGCATGAGAGAGAAATTGAGAAAAGAAGGGAATTCGCTTCAATTTGGTGTGGGAAACCACGAGAGATCCTGGATCGAACTGGAAGCGAACAGAGGGACGAGTGAGAGGACAGATTGCTGAGATTGGACCGGCAGGAACTGACAGGGTGTACTGAGACAAAAGGAGGAAGGGTTCAAGCCTTCAAGGTGAAGGAGTGGAGAAAAGCTGCACAGGCAAGTGCATAAAAAATGAAATGGAAGAAAGAAAGAATTGGGGAAAAAAAAAGGAAAAAAAAGAGAAAAGAGATGGAACCACGACTGCGACAGACCTGGGTTCCAGCTGGTACTGGGAAAAAAAAAATGAAAAAAAAGAAAAAAGATTGTGGCCGAGTAGAGAAGCATGGATATATGGGGTATGCAGAGATACATGGAAGAGTTCAAATTTAGACAGAAGGTGGTATTGGGCTTCAAATGGATACCAATGGGACTAGCTCAGTTGGTACACCCATGAGGTGTTGAAATACACAGACCCAAGTTCGGATCCAGATGCAATCAGATGAACGAAATAACGAAATAAAATAATTCTGAATTAATTGGGGTCGGTCAGTTCAATGATGATATCTCAAGGCCATCACCCTGTGAAAAATGAGAAGCAGGAGGTGGTGAGGAATTAAAAGAGGAAAAAAGGGGAGGAAGAACAATGGAAAAAAAAAAAAAAAAAAAAAAAGGGTTTCAAGAGGGNGTGGTGAGGAATTAAAAGAGGAAAAAAGGGGAGGAAAAAAAAAAAAAAAAAAAAAAAAAAAAAAAAAAAAGGGTTTCAAGAGGGTCCCTGTGAGCCCCTCTTATACAAGTCAGTACCTTTCCAAGCCATATAATGCAAGATGTGCAAAAGCGCACATGGATTTACGGTGTGGCCTGCCTCTCCTCCCTCCTCAACACCTGCACAAACCCCACCTTTCTGATATCCCTTGGGTACCAACGGGCCTAGCTCAGTTGGTACACCCATAACTGTTGAAATGCAGACGTGAGTTCAAATCCAGATGCAGTCAATCAGATGACCAGAATAAGTAAGCCTGAATTACCTGGGGCTGGTCCGCTCAGTGAGGATATCTCGAGGCCGTCGCCCTCTAAAAGAGAAAAAAAAAAAAAAAAGACAAAGAAAAAAACTTAAAAAAGGAAGCAGAAATTAAACACATGCCATGGCACGCTTCCGTCCAAGCACACAAAGTTCACAAACCCATAACTCATGAACGAAGTTTTGCCTTTAGTCCGACCATTAGGGGACTTCCAAATTTCCAATACATTACCATACCAACACTACAGCAAAAAAGTTGAAAAAACTCTTCACTATCAAACACTAGGTCTCCATTTTCAACTCAATCCCATTGCTTTGATTCATCATATAGCACACAAAATGTATACAGTAAGAGACTAGCACATTTCAGCCAGCCGCACCCTGTATCTGCGAGCGCAGACCCCATCAAAGGGCTTCAAAGCAGAGGATCTCACTGTGAACCCATACTATAAATGCTTGGTTATCTTGTGAATATGGCCCACAGCTCCTAATTTTCCGAGCATCATGACCTGTCTCTTATACACATCTAGATGTGTATAAGAGACAGCACTGTTAACAGGGCAGCACTCCACTGCCCAGTTGCAGACAGCAGGAAACTTATGAAAACACCCCCATAGATCAATTTAGACAGTGTCACAGTGGCCTTTTCAGGACACAGGTAGTCCCTATATCTCACACCCGGCGACACTCTATACGTGGCCAAAATCCACTTTGCTTTTCAACTTATGACATTTCCTTCTCTGCTTTAGTTAAAAGAAAAACAAGCGCAGCCAGAGAAAATAATTACAATAATGATAATGATATCAAAACATTCTCTTCACATGCAATTTCCGCTTCTGTGTCGACCCCCCCCCCCCCCCCCCCCCCTGCCCCCCCTTGCAGCACACTCTGTACACCTGACGTCAGAACTTCAAGCAGACCTTGCCAGCTGCAGAAACCTTGTTGCCCTTAAACCCTGAAAGAAAGGGGGAAGAAAAGGACTGAATCTGTTAGGCGGGATTAGGGTCCGCTGGCCATAACGGGAGGAAGCATCAAGTGGGTACGCTCATAAGGGACGATGGACCTGGTTTGGAGCAAACAATACAAATGGACTTTTTCAAAAGGGAAAAAAAAAAAAAAAACAATGAGGAAAGGATTACCTGCATTTGAGCAGCGGCTCAGTACGGAGTGACGACTACACGGTTAACGGAGCCTACGAATTGGTAATGCCTTCCCGAAGAGTTTTTCGATATCGCTTGCACCCATTTGAAGATCCTTCAACAGGGCCTTTTCCTCCTCAGAGAGTGACTCCAGTAGCAACTGCTCGTCTCTCTGCAGCTCTTTGGCACCATCACCTAGTCTCTGGAACAGCATTTTCTCTTCATCTCCCAGCAACTCCAGCTCCTTCTCTAGGAAAGCCTCTTCTTTCTTTACCTCTGTTTCAATCTTGGTTTCAATTCGGGCGAACAGTGGCTGTACGGGTCGGCATGAGTTATCGGTTGTAATAAACTTGTCATAGTCCAGACCCACCTTAGATGCTGCTTCTCTCAGAGCTGGCACTGCACTCTTCGGGACAGTCCGGCTTCTTGTGTATATTACAGCGCCTCCGTACCTGTCACACACACAATGGCCATGGATAAAGAAAGTAGTCATGTGTACACACATTCGTGAATGAACGAGACGACGTTGCATTGCCGCGACGCACTGCGAGCCTACAGCTATAACCCATGGAGTCAACTGAGAAGACAGCAAGAAAGGAAGTCAAAGTCAAAGTCAAAGTTGTCAAACTGGTATTCAACTTATAACAGTCTTATTATCTCTTATATATCGTCAAACAGAGCCTTATATATCATCAAACAGAGCTGCCCGGCAAACCGTAAGCAGAGAGAGAGGGAGAAGAGGACAACAAACGAGGGGCTGTGACAAACCGTTTCGTCGGAGTTTCACCGACTCATGAGAAGGCTGAACCTTCAACAGTCTGCAGAATCCCCTAACTGATTACACTGTAAGTGATAATCCACCTTAATCCCGGCTCTGGTTAAGCATCAATGACTGCCCGACAACTGATACCCCTCTGAGGAGGTGGGGACCACCAACCACTGCCCTCAAGGTACCTGTGACGAAAATCAAATCAGACTATCACACACGCACACCAGATGGAAAACTCTACAGACTGCCGGTTCACACCCTGTCACAAGCAAGCAAAACACCCACGAAACAAAGAAAGGTCTGTCACAGCCAAAAAATACACTCCAGACACGCCGCTGGCACTAGAGGAACAGCATGGCCGCGTAGTGACGGCCCCGACCACTATATATCCGCTTGAAGTTTGAGGGTAATTAATTTTATGTCTGCTTGATGGTCCTTAACCATTGAAATTCGGAACCGGCAACACAACAAAAGGTGAAACAACGACATCAACCAACGGGACTGCCTCAGTTGGTACACCCACGAACTGTATGGAACGAAATGAATGAAATACTTCTGAGTTTAACTGGGGCCAGTCAGTTTGATGAGAATATCTCAAGGCCGTGACCCTTCAAAACCACCACTACCTTTGCCAGTGCTGGGAAAAATGGGAAAAGAGCTACTCCGAAAAGTTTGGAGGTCCCCAGGAGGCTCAGCAGGAAAGGGAAAAAAGAAAAGAAAAGATTGGGAGTCATTTGGGACCCTGTGGGCCCGCTGTGAAAAAAAAAACAAAAAAAAACAACACTCTGCGCTTCGAATCCAGCGACGTCGAGGAAGGCCCTCACGGAAGCGGAAGTCACACCAGTGCTTTGAGGAATGTATGTGGCCACTATGTGCCGAACGTGATTGCTGTTTTTTTTTTTTTTTTTTTTTTTTTTTTTTTCGTTTCCTTGAAGTGCCCTGCCAGCGAGGCAGGGCGTATTCCACGCGGGGCAACTGACTGCCTCCCTCACCTCATACTCACACTAGCACTGTAGCATCATGAATCCTACCGCAATCACAGCATAAGGGATACTTTTTCTTTTGTTTTTCTTGTTCATCTGTTGTTCATCGGACAGACGCCCTCACTGAGGGCACAGTCACAGTAGAACCTCATATAATTTATCTGATGGCTATCACGGCGTTAGGGAGGTTTCTCTCCTTTTCTTCTTCTTCTTCTTCTTCTTCTTCTTCTTCTTCTTCTTCTTCTTTCTTTTTTTACCTTGTTCTTTTCGGGATGCAACCAACTGCTGTAAGTACCAGAAAAGAAAATACAATCGGACCGAGGCTCGGCAAAACTCGGTGCCCAGTGCAATTCAGGTTCGGCAAAAACAGGACCTGAGGTAGTGGTCGATTAATATTAAGAAAAGGAAAATGTAATGTCCCGCCAAAACACAGACTGAGAAGACTGCTGATTTCTGGGACTTGCCGCTGGAATGAATGCCGTGCTGAGATTCCCGCATTCTGCTGTGGTTTCCAAGTCTGTGTGTGTGTGCGTGCCTGCTGGTTTGCGTGCCTGTCTGAGTGCTTGTCGGCTGAGTGTGTGTGTGACCCGCAAGGGTACTTGTTGGTTGAAAGGCCCTGCAGGGCCGGTACTTACCTGTGGCCGTGACTTTGAGGGTTGCAGCGGGAAAACACTCAAGTAGCGGGGGTAGGTCCGCGACACTTAGAGAAGCAGGGAAAAACAGTCAAGTAGCAGGTAGGCCAGTACCACTCAAGTAGTGGTAGAAGTGTCAGGTACTGGAGGCCGAGCAGAAGAAGACAAAAAGTTGGCATTTCTAGAGCCCCAGTAGAGGTAGGTTAGAGGTAGGCCAGTACCAGTCCAAGTAGCCTCAGTCTAGGGCCTGTCCGGACGATAGCAGAGCCTGCAATGATGTTTCCCTCCGAAAGGGAGGAGGTACCGGTTGCTGGGAGGCCGCTCGGCCTAGAAAGTCACCGCCCAAGAGGCCAGTAGGCCACTATATCTTCCGGAGGAGCAAGCAGCTCCTCATTTGTGGTATGCCATGATTGACGACATGCTGCTGGAGCCAAGCGCTGGACTTGGGCAGCGCTGCCTGGAGGTGACGAGCAGCTGGGCGCTCAGCCTGGCTATTGCGAGCAGCCCAGCCTGAGGAGGAGGAAGAAGGGGGCGAAGGAGAAGAGTGGCGAGGTACCTACCTGGCTATGGTGGAAACCATCTTCATCACCTTGTTGGGCGCTGCATTTGGAAGGCCCCAGTTCGGGTAGTGCCGCACCAAGGAAGCTCGAGGCAGAGTCAGGCATGGCGGCTTAGTCAGCAGCGGCATAGCTGCTTCGGGTTGTCCTTTGGACAGGAGTGCAGCGACATAGCTGCTTTGCGTTGTCCTTTGCACAGGAGGGCAGATCCCTCAGTAGCACGCCATAGCCTAGGCATGTGAGAGGTGGAAGAAGGGGGGAAGCCATAGCTATGGTGGACCTATTGTGATGTCAGCAGTAAGAGGGAACTTCGGACATTGGTTCTGGTTCATTCACTCATTGTTATTATTATTATTGGAAGAAGGAAGTGAAGGAGGATGAGGAAGGTGGAGAGAGAAGGGGGATTTGTCATTGGTCTTGCTGGTGTACATCTTCTTCTTCTTCTTCTTCTTCTTCTTCTTCTTCTTCTTTTCTTCTTCTTCTTTCTCTCTTCTTGGGTCTCTATCTCTTTGCAGGTGCTTTCATTTCTTTTGCAATTGGGTGGCATCGTCTTTCATTGTGAATTTGTGCTTTGGGAATGACCAGGATCGTAACAAAAAAGAAAAGAAAAGAAATAACAACATCAACTCCGCTGATAGTGCAAGGGAGATAGAGACCCCTGGGATGCCAGCAGCCTCAGCAGAGTCTCACAGACCATTCAAGGCCATAGCTGACTTCAAAGCAGAAGAAGTCGCATTCCACCATTATCATCAAGCTGCCATCATAATGATTAGGATAAAGATAGAGTGAACTATCTGTTCTGGTCAGTTTGATGTCTGATCCGTGGTCTATAGAGTCCAGAAATAAATTTAAAAAAAAAAGAAAAAAAAAGAAAAAAAAAGAAAAAAAAAGAAAAAAGATTAGGATATGGGTAATTCTTTTGGAAAAACACAAGAAATGTTCTCAGATTTTTTTTTTCTTTAATGCTAAAGAAAAAGGTGAGAGGAAAGAAGCGCCTCAAAGTAGCAGGGCAGGAGAGGAAGGTTGAACAACGCTCCGCAGAGGAGGCACTCAGAGCAGAAGAGTCCTTCAGGAGATGTGTTACAATTGGAACAATACAGAGAATGCGCAGGATGACACAAACAGATTGAGAAATGGTTCAAAGTTGGAAAATTTTCCGAAAAAATAAATAAAGAAACGAGTTGGTAGAAAGAAGGAGAAAGGTTCCCTGTTTATTGACAGACAAGGTCCTTGTGTCCACCTCTCAAGCAAACAGAGCCAATAGGTATGAAGTACTATGAACCTAAGGAGCAAGCTTAGATCTGATGAAGAGGGAAACTGGATGGATATATAATGTTTTTTTTTTTTTTTTTTCCTCCCTTTTTTTTGGATACATAATCTTGGTAAGCTACCTACCAGCCTAGCTCAGTTGGTACACCGCTGAACTGTCCAAACTTCAAATACAGACCTGAGTGCGGACTCAGCTGGATGCAAATGAGTAAAACACTACAATTCTGATTTAAAAAAAAAAAAAAAAAAGGCAAGCTGTGGGTGTGCAGCCTTGTGCACTAGGCTATAAATTCAATATGTCCTTGCTTACCCATGAGAATTCCTAAGCGAGGGGGGGGGGAGGGGGGAAGGGGTGAAGCTAACAAGGTTTGCTTGGATGCAAGAGTCTTTGGAGGAGCATGGAAAAGGCAAGGGAGGAAGCTGGGATGGGAGTTTAAACCGCTAGTACACAGCCCCAGCCTTGCAGAAAGTTTTTGTCACCACAAGCAAAACTCAGAGGCGCCGCGCGGCCAGGCCCGCCGTTGAAAAAAAAATATTGGCGGCCTCCGAAGTGGTGCGGGTTTCGTGCTGACACCGGCGGGCAGATATGTGGTGTACTGGTGCTTTAAAGGCGAAAAGGGTTGAGAAAAGGCACCGAAAGATGTTCAAAGGAAGGTTTGGACGTTAGACGGGGGGTCGGGAGGGATGTTTGAAACGAAAGGAGGCATTTCAGAGCGGAGGGCAGGGGTTGCAGAACACCTCAGGCAAAACTTCACAGGGCTGCTCAGGAGGTCTGCAGCCGGGACATAACGCCAGAAAACGACAGGTTTGGAGGAATGCTGCGACACAACCGAGGAGGGGTCGGGCAATGAAGAACACAGAAGAAGCTGCCCAGGAGGTAGAGAGAAGATTGGGAGGGGGTCCAAAAGAACGGTAGAGAGAAGATAGGGAGGGGGTCCAATAAACGTAGGGTGGCTGTTAGCAACAGGCATCATGCGAAGAGAGTCCCGCGCAAAAGTGCTCTTCTTGTTGACGGTCCTGCATGATCTGCAACCAAGGCTACATGCCCATTACGAGAGGAGAAACGGAGCTTCAGCTTCCTTTTTTTGCACGTCCTTCACGATCTCAAATTTAATAGAATTGTCTCCTCTCCTGGTACAGGCCCCCATCAATTCAGTTGAGTTTCAGCTTTGCGACTGTACTCCCCAGGCGGAGAGTTTAAACCACCAGTACATCCGAAAAAGGAGATTCAGCCTCTCCTAAAGAAACAGGAGGCCATGAACCACCGATTCATTTTATCAACTGTCCACGGCCTCTGAATTTTTAGGAGAGGCTCAATCTGTTTTTTCTGATGTACTGGTGGTTCAACCCATCGGGTAGGGCCAAGATAGGCAGTGCACATTTGCCAAATTCTAGTAGATAGGACGCCGGACCCGTTTTCCAGCACGTGTTGCTCCCCACCAATAAATGGAGCCTCCCCGGGGGAGATAGAGGCATCTGCTCATACCAGCACCCCTCGCTCCCAAACGGGCACCTTTAAAAAATAAATTAAAAAAAAAAAAAAAAAAAAGGTCCCACATCTCACAAAGGTAGGTCTTTGCCATTTGGGCCTCCAACCTAAATACGGTCCAAGCCAACTTCTCAGAGTGCATGAGAAGTCGCATGATCACAGTGCAGCCCCAGAAAAGCCAGGGTTGAACTGCACACCAGCCTGATCCAACTGTTTGGATGGACAGGCCACTGCATAACGCCATACCTCATCCACATTCAAGCGTCAATTGCTTCTCAATTTAGTAGAGACTAAGAAGGGGTTAGTGATCTTACCCATCCCATGCATCATTCCGTCCTCGATAGTACACAAATATGTAATCGTCTGGCTTTTTCTCAGTCTTGGCTGAAATGATGTACCTTGAGCAAGAACACATGACAAGAGAGAACCAGATGTGCAGAACCTGTTTAGCATGCTCCTCTCATTGCAGATGGAAAACTAAACAAACCATAACACACTCCTTCGCCTCCTATCTATTGGTGAAGCTCTCACAGCATTACCCCTCTCTCTCTCTCTCTCTCTCTCTCTCTCTCTCTCTCTCTCTCTCTCTCTCTCTCTCTCTCTCTCTCTCTCTCTCTCTCTCTCTTCGCCTGTGATTGTCTGCCACTCTGCCTCGCTGAAGCTCTCACAGCATTACCCCTTACAATAAGGTCTCTTTAAATCGGTTCCCAATCCCTTCTTCTTTTTTTTTTTCAATAACCAAGAAAGAGCATGTTACTAGAGGGGGGGGGGGTACGAACGCGCAACCTTCCCTAGTAAGTGTTCTGGGTGCTCCACAATTTATTGGTGGGGAGCTGTCACCCCTAACAGCTTCAGCGAGTACTCTGGAAGCAAAAGGAAACTACTGTAATTCCAGCCAGAAAGCAACATGCTTGTAGCTTTGTGCAAACCAACTCACCAGTCATCCTCATAGTGGAGGAACTCGTTGTTGTGGTTGAGCAGCAGACCCGGTTGGTTTTCATCTTGGACAAAAGTCTGAATCGCCATTCGAGTGAAGAATCCACCATCCGGAGTCGTGATCCGCCACTGCAGCTTTGCTGTAAGGCTGCGAGGATCATTCGCATGGAATTCGTGCAGCTGACAATCGAAGGCATCAAAGGTGGGGTTATACCCTTTTGAAATAAACCATTTGCCTTCGAAGTCTGTGGCAGAGAAGTTCTCGACAACTGCAGACGGAGCCGGAACAGGGTAAAGCCCCACGTCTACTCGTTTTGGCACACACTTCTTCTCTGATACTGCACACTTGTTGAACTCGTCCACCGTTGCATCTTCAAACAAATCTCCACAGCCTATCTGCCAGACACGTTCATATGCAGACGTGTCAGTTTCCTCACGTTTCACACTTCCACTGGCACAAAGCAACAGCAGCAGTGAACACATACTCCACTTCAACAAGGTGTACCTACCGATTACATATTGACCTGGTATGGGGGTCTGCACCCTACATTTGCTGCTTTTCTGGTCCGTTGGCCAATCCAAAGAAGGCTTGCAGACCCCGGAGGGGCCCATTTATTCCCTACGTGTTCCCCAACCCCCTCACATGCGGGCATGATGATATGGGGGTCTGCACCCTGCATTTGTCACTTTTCTAGCCCATTGGCCAACCCAAGGAAGGCTTGCAGACCCTGGAAGCCCCCCATCGTATTCCCTACCTGCCCCCCAAACTCCTCGGTCTCCCAAGAATCACCCTCACCAGCCTGCCTTGTTAGTACGTTCTCATGTGTCACCTTCACTGCCAAGGGTGCTGGACAAGAGACTGCCCGAAGAGGGTTACGGTGCTACTGTCTTCCCCCCGAATAGAACGTACAGTCATTTTACTGCTGTATCTAGACCAACATTCGCTCCAAATGCAGCTATAATGCCCACAGTGGAAGATGGTAGCCGATATGCTCAACCATGTTGAGAAAAGACTGCAAAGAGAAGTTGCTCTGGAATGACAGTAGACTCATCAGAATGAGTTCTGGGCAGTGGGGCCTCATCCCTTTGTGGACTCTGCCTTCATCTCAGGGGTGATTGTCAGGGCTGCGGCCCTCATTATTATTCAATAAAACGACCAATTTTTGCAAAGAAAAGGACAAAGGGGAAAACAAAACAAGCTCGATTGACTTATACCTTTCTCGGCCTTTTGGCTAAAAATAGATCAAGTGTAGTTACTGTAGTATCTGTTCTGATCAGTTTATAACTTTATATCTGATCCATGGTCCATCGGGCCACAAAAAAAAAAAAAAAAAAAAAAAGGTTGATGGACTGGACCAAAAAACTTCAGGGAAAAAAAAAGGAAAAGAAAGTCTGTATGTCAAGATTTCAGATGCCTGCTGTCCTTCCAATTCTCATAGACATACACCCCCCCTGAAACGGTTTTCACCTTTTTGCAGTCACAGATGCGGGCCCTAGAGTTTGATCCCCAGACCTCACCTTACCCCTGTACAGTGTCGAGTTGACCCCCGAGTGTTTGAACCCGTGACCTGTGTTTCGGTAGTTGGTTGTTTGTCGGTTGTTACATGCCCAGTTGGGCGATGTACATATATAACCAAGGATCCGCAATGTGATAAAAAGGACTGAATGGACAATGCAGTGCAAGTAGAATCTCAACAAGCAGTGTACATTCTGATGCATACAAAAATGGTGCTTTATAGCGCAGTGTAAGACTTGGATACAAGTCCTGACCTGACCGGGACTGACCTCCCTCACGTAGTACAAGACAGCGCAGCAGAATGCTAGAATATCAATGACGAGCCCAATCAATGTTGCAATGCAGACTAAACATACATCATCTTCCTCACAAGGTGTGAAGGAGGCCTGACGCTACACACAGGAAGAATGTGCCAGGTCCTGATCATGCACAGACGAAGAGGAGGGGAACAGACGAAGAAGAGGCGGGGGGAGATGGGAAAGTCGTCAACACCAAGTCTTCGTTACCAGTCCCAAATAATCCCTCGTCAAAATGTCTGAAGCCCAACATCGAGTCTGGATCCAAATATCACCGAGCTCTCTCTCGTAGTCTGCTGATGCAGTGAAGTCAGATAGCGAGAGGGCGAGAGGGAGATGGTGGACTGAGAAGAGGAAGACGAAGAACTCTCTCTCTCTCTCACGTGCCAGGTACTAACCTGTGAAGTTGGCGCTGTGCTGCAGGTACCTCGAAGACGAAGCTGGAGCTCTGGCGCTGCAGGTAAATCTCCCTGGCCTCCGCCCAAAATCTCTCTCTCTCTCCAGTACTACTCTAGCTCCTACTAGCGCCCAGCGCTGAAGACTACTGCTAACGCTACTAGCGCCCAGCGCTGAAGACTACCGCTAGCGCTACTACTACTCCTGCAGCGCTCCTCCAGAGTGCTGCTGCCGAATCCTGAAGACTACCTCCTGCCTCCTGAACTGCACGTGAAGTGCCTGGGAAGTACCTAGGAACTACCTGCAGCCTGCAGGGCGGGCCAGTCCTATATAGTGCTGGCCCGTCCAGGAGGCTGCTCTTGCCAATGCCAAAACGTGCCAGACCCTGGCGTTGAAGCTCAACCAAGGGTTGTCTTGAAAACAGGCCCAAAATGGCCTGTGCTAAAACCCTGGTTTGGTGCCTGAGTTTCAGGGCAGGTCGATCTTATGAGGGCCTGAAAATGGCCCTCAGTTTCTGGCTGAAAAGACTCAGGGCCGGAAAGGCCCTGATTTAGGCTGAAACGACACAGGGCCTGTAGGCCCTTGTTTTCAGGCTTTTAGGCTGAAACGACACAGGGCCTGTAGGCCCTTGTTTTCAGGCTTTCGGGCTGAAAACGACACGGGCCTGAAAATGGCCCGTGCAGCCTGTTGCAGGCGCAGCATGTAACACTGTCGTAGGTCTGTGTAGATGTAGGGGTTCGATCTGTAGGTCTGTCAAGTAGGGGTCATAGCTGTGTAGAGGTCGAAACTGCTAGGCTAAAGGTCTGTAGGTGAGTCGCAGGTCCAACTGCGTTGGGTCGGCAGTGCAACCTCATGCAATCAGGGTTACCAGTCCCAGTCATACAACCGGTCAAGCAAGTACCGTGTGGGACTGTGCACACCCAGGGCCTGGTGGAAAGGGGCAGACCAACGGCAAACAGAAGTATAAATCAAGAGCAGCGCCCAGCAATTCATTCATTCGCTGCGTAAGCCATGCGGAAGCGCTGCTACAGCGTGTTGTGCGAAGGTGGTCTGCAGGTTGCCCGAAGACGAAGTGGGCTGACGAGAGAGATCGTAGTCATACTCAGTAGTGATAGAGCGGCCATAGCCGCTGTAGAAGGAAGATAGGATTAGTGTGTTTGTGTGGTGGTATTCAGGGTGATCCAGAGTTGAGTATGTGCGAAGTTGCGAACGGTGGTATGGGGCACGTGACGAAAGTTGGTGTGCAGGCGCCGATGCGCCATAGTTGTTGAAGTGATTTTGCATCTTAACTGTGTTCTCGTTTTCCATATCTCTGAGCTTTGAGTGGGCGCGAAGCGCCAGTGTGAATCGCCATCTGTTTGCATGTATGTGAAGTGGAAAAGAAAGCGAGTCTGTTTGCATCCCCCAAAAAATAAAATAAAATAAAATAAAATGGTACACCAATGTGTAATGAACCCAGTCTGGCAGATACTCATCAGTCGTCAAACACCAGTAGTCTCAGTATCTGCAGCATACTAGCATAGTCTCCAATTATCGTGAAATGATATCTGAAAGTATCTCATTACCATTAGACGAAGAGAGTGGAGGGAGATCAGACAGAGGAGAAGGTGGAAGAGATGATCAAAGATCACACAAGAGTAATCCCATCAAACCCCACTCCTTCTCCGGGCTTCTTCCCTTCCCACGTCAACCCACGTCAACAACCAGTATATGATAACCAGTATAATAATCCTGATCACACAATAGTGCCACGTGGCACTCTTATCTCGTGAAGACCATGCAGACACAGCAGATTACAGTGACGACGTCAACCTCAGGTGAGTACCCGATCCCAATCATCCACAGATCCTGATCTTCCTCCTCCTCACAACCAGTCACCTCATGTAGACAGCGTGGGCAATGCCACATCAGCAGTCGAGACAGGTGGCATGCGCCACATCATCACGCAATGTAGACCAGAGGCAGCGCCACATCATCATGCAATGTAGACCAGAGGCAGCGGCATATCATCATGCAATGTAGACCAGAGGCAGCACCACAT